TTCTACCTCCATAGTCCAGGCCCTCATCCCCTTCCTTCTGGACCTCTGCCATAGTTCTCTGCAGAGGACCTCTCATGTTTCTGTCTGCCCAATAGTGCTTCCCTCCTTTTTTGGAAACTGCTACCATTTCCTTCTGGGGAAGTACTTCTTCCATTTCTTGCAGTCTTGGGGAACTATCAATCAAAGTCGTCTTCACCTTTATCAAGTGCTGACCAATAGATCAACTAAGGTAGAAATCAGAATCTTGAGTGAAATGATACCAATAGAAAATGGTTAGAAATGGGATTTAGGAGTGACCTTGTCCAATTTAGGACCAGATGATGGGATGGCCCCCGAAGTAAGGCTGAAGAATATCCGAATATCAACTTGAGATGTGCCTTTACTGATACTAAAGTGAGCTTTTTAATATTGGACCCCCAAATTAAACTTCTCCACCCAGTTGCAGGAGATGTTGGAAAATCATAGTCCTCTCCATGAGGGCCAGAACCCGGGAAATTTATAACATGGATGATGAAAGCAAAAAAAAAAAAAATCATCCTTCTTCTAGGCAGGCAGAACTGAAACAGAAAGAATAATGAAGAGCTGAGTTGAGCTGGTTTATTCTCTCCAAACTCACTAATCAGATACAGGCTGGGTGTCTGAAACCAGAGGTAATTCAGATTTCAGGTTGCTTTGGATTTGGGGATATTTGCATATATTTAATGAGATATCTTGGGGATGGGATCGAAGTCTAAACACAAAATTCATTTATGTTTTATATATGCCTTATACATGTAACCTGAAGGAAATTTTATGCAATATTTTTATAAGTTTGTGCTTGAAACAAAGTTTGTGTATATTGAGCCATCAGAAAGCAAAGGTTTCACTATCTCAGCCACCCATTGGACAGTCTGGTTATTCATCATCATCATTATTACTGACTCTGAATTTATATGCTACTGATAAGCAATCGTTTTCTTACATGTATTCACACATATGTATGTAATGGTAAAAAATATGACATGTCACTAATACATTGAAAAAGAAATGTGTTCAGGGTAAGTAAACAGCATGGTAGCATTGCCAGAATACCCGGGGATGCTATAAACTGTATGTTGTTCACCTGCATTTTGACTTCAATCAGTCATGTGAGGTCAGGTATGGAATTTTCCACTTTCAGTCCTCAAAAAGTTTCTGATTTTGGATTTTGGATGTTTGGATTAGGGATGCTCAACCGGTTTATCATTCCTTCTTCTCTGGTGAAGGGAAGAGACAAGGGTGTCGCTGTAAAAGAGGCCCCTCCACATGGAATAAGCTGGGGGTAGGGACTAACGGTTCCCCTCAGCATTGTTCATTTATTCCTGGCTGCTGTCATTTCTGAAGCCTGTGGTTGGATAATTGTACAATGTTACCTTTTAGTTTAACGTAACCAGAGTCTGTTTCTATTTGCTTGCATGTAAAGAATATACGGCAGTTTCCTATTTTTGCTATATTAGGGTGACCAGATTTTAACATCTGTAAGGTGGGACAACATGGCCGGGGGGGCGGAGCGGGGGCGCGGGGCAGGGGATAGGGCAGGGGACTGGGCAGGGGACCGGGCAGGCAGGGCCTGACAACAATGCAAACTTTGATAAGCAGTTCTCGATAATCACTTCTCAGCAATTATTTATTACAGTTTAACATTATAAAATTAACAAAAATAATATAAAATTCATATTCTGGTGAAATAGCTATACGGCGGCCAAAAACCGTATATTCCCTTCTTGTTCTCCAGCCCGTTCGTGCATTCTTTCCAAAAATCGGGACTTTTTTAAATCGCCGCAGGACGCCGGACAAATTGTTGAAAAGCGGGACTGTCCCGCCAAAATCGGGATGCCTGGTCATCCTACGCTATATCAATCACTACACATTTGGTGGCTTAGAACAATATAAATTTGTTATCTTAAAGTTTGGGAGATCAGAAGTCCAGAATGGGTACTATGGGGCTAAAATCAAGGTATCATCAGGGTCCTTCTGGAGGCTTTTGGAGAGAACTCATTTCCATTTCTTTGCCTTTTCCACCTTCAGAGGCTGCTATCTTTCCCTGACTTGTCACCTCTCGGCCAGCAACCGTATCACTCTGATATCTGATGTGTCATCACATCATCTTCTCTAACTCTCTGCAATTTTCTTTCTCTAACCACTGCAATTTTACTAGGCAATTTCTCTATCTCAATGTCCTCAACTTGATCACTTCTGCAAAGTCCCTTTCCCATATAAGGTGGCATGGCCACAGGTTCCAGGGATTGGGACGTGAACATTTTGAGGGGCTATGAGAAATGTCTTTTAACCTATCTTACATCCACCTCCTTCTCTCCTCTCCAGTCTGTACTATAAGAGATCTTTATAAAATGTGAATCTCATCATGACTACCCTACTTTAGAAACTTCTCGATTTCCCAAAGCCCACTGAGTAGAAATCATAGCATACCCTCTTCTCTTCTGCTGTTCACAGTTTGCTATGAGCGTCGGTCTTCTCATCCTGAAACATTACCCTCCCCAAAGCCAAATCTTTCCATCCTTCACGGTCCTTCTCTTTCACAAAGGCCTTCATGATCCTTCCAGCCAGACCCCACCTGGACTATGAGCTTCACATCTGTTACCTGGCAATACTGGGTACCAGTCGTTCAGACAGACTTGAGATCAAATTTGTCATCAACCACAGACTATTCTTGTGATTTGGGGCAAAGTACTTAAACGTTCTGTACCTTAGTTTCCTCTAGTAAAAAAATGTAGATAATAAAGTAGTTAGTTACCGATGCACAGTTTATTGTGAGGATTAAATGGAATAATGCCCACAAAGTGTTTAGCCCACTGCTTGACACATAGTACTCAATAAATAGGTGGGTGGTAGCAATTATTAAAATTTAATAGTTGGGCCAGGCACAGTGGTTCATGCCTGTAATCCTAGCACTCTGGGAAGCTAAGGTGGGAGGATTGCTTGAAATGAGGAGTTCAAGACCAGCCAGAGCAAGAGTGAGACCCTTTGCTCTACCAAAAAAAAGAGAGAGAGAGAGAGAATTAATAGTTAAGTGTTGAGTAAATAAACAAATAAGATACTCCCTCCTTTCCTTGGTCTGTTGATGTTCCTCTTATGGTCCTTAGCATACCCCAAAGCCTAGAACATTTTTTAAGTTGAATTAATAAATCTTATACTTTGTGTAGTCTTAGTTGTTTTCTCTGGGGGTTTGGAGGGGGGATGTCTGTGCCTTGTCAGAATTTCTTTTCTTTCTTTCTTTTTTTTTTTTGTAGAGACAGAGTCTCACTTTTTCGCCCTTGGTAGAGTGCAGCGGAGTCACTCCAGCAACCTCCAACTCCTGAGCTTAGGCGATTCTTCTGCCTCAGCCTCCCAAGTAGCTGGGACTACAGGCGCCCGCCACAACGCCCGGCTATTTTTTGTTGCAGTTTGGCCGGGGCTGGGTTTCAATCCGCCACTCTCAGTATATGGGGCTGGCGCCCTACTCACTGAGCCACAGGTGCCTCCCCAGAATTTCTATAGGGGTTGGTGGTAGAAGGAGAAGGCTGCTCCTACTTCCTTTCCCTGGTCCCCTGTGCACAGCAGACTTCAACAAACACTTGTCTTATTGGATTGAAGTGAATGCTGGCTGCATAGAAACTTCCAGCAGAGAAAACCTACTTGCTCCCCTTCTCCTGCCCCTCCTCGTCCCCAATAAGCCTGATTCTCTGTGGGGCATCTGCTTTTCATCCCCAGTCTTCATGGTGATTCTGCTACTGTGTGACCTTGGATTGGTCACTGCATATCTCTAGGACTCAACTTTCTCTCTGAAAAATGGGCATAGCAATACTTGTCTCCTTCAAGATCACTTAGAGGCAAAATCAAGGTCAAGCAGGCACCCTATAAAAGTTCAGTGTGAAGATGAGAAATGGAGATGAGAAGGTTAACTTCTTTTGATTATTACTATTATTTAGGTATATATTTTAGACAAGAACGTTAACATCTGTGCAGTAAAGAAGAAACCACAGCTAAAGGAACAACGAAGTCATCCCTAGGATATAGAAAATACATTGCTATTGAAAGTGTGGAGAAACTCAACGATTTCACAATCACATTCTCAACTAAAGGTCCAAAGGGGCCTTGGGGCTCGAGGAAACTTTCACACACCAAAAGCTGTAGAAATGATTTCCCCATTCAAAAGAGGGTCATCTCTTTTAAGAAAAGTTGTGTTTTTCAGACTTAAAAAGGTGGTTGTTTTTCTTATTTTAAAAGTAATACCTGCTTATTATAGAATTCACTACAGAATTTTTACAAAATAAGAAAATACACAAAGGAGAAAAACTTCTCTAAGCGTATTACACAGAGGTCTCCACTTGTAACTATCAAAGTAAATTGGGATTTTGTTGTAACCACAATTTCATATCCTGCTTGATGAACATTTTCACAGGTGATTAGCCGTCTACAATGGGAGGATTCCAGTATAAAAATCTGTTGCAATTTACTTAACCAATCTTTTATCGTTGGACATTTGGGATATTGCCTTTAATTTTGGTTGCTTTGGGCTGTTATAAGAGGTGCCGTTAACATCTTTGCTACACAAGTTTTTACATAAATCCTTGATGATGTTATTTGAATTCCGGTAAGTGGACTTGCTAGACCAAAGCGTATTCGATACATAATGCCAATTTGTCTTCTATGAATGATTTTAGTCTTTTACACTCCCACAGGCAATTTCATAGGATTTCAAAGGAGTTGCTGGTGTCCTTAACTGTCGAATCCCACCCAACGAGGACTCCCGGCCTCTTTCACGTTTTCCCGCCTACTCCGCACACCACCCTTAGCTCCAAGACACCCCGCCCCTCGCCAGGCTGGCTCGCCCCTTCCTTGCTCCCTCACGGATTCTGTCCAATCAAAAGTAGGAATCGTCCTTAGTACCGCCGTGCGATTGGCAAGATAAAGTGTCCATTGTGCTCAGGGGCGGGCAGAGCGGGCTGACGGACATGGCGACGGGCCAGTGTGAGCGGGGCGTGCGTGGCGTGCGTGGCTTGCTGGCCTGGAAGCACTGGACCTGTGAGGTGTGTGGACCTGTGGCGGTGAGAGGCTTTGGCCGACATGGTTCCCAACGCACCAGTGGCTGAGCCCGAGTATCCTAAAGGCATCCGGGCCGTGCTGTTGGGGCCTCCCGGGGCTGGCAAAGGTACCCAGGTGAGCGGCGGCACTGGGCATGGCGGCAGAGCCCACGAACTCCAAGGTCAGAGCGGCCGGAGATCCGGAAGCTCTTTTCTTGCCCAGGAGCGGGCGGTGGGCTGAGGCCTAGGGGACTGGCCGGAGTTTCGGGTTCTGATGAGGCATTTGGGGGAGTGTTCAAATTGGAAGTAGTGGGGGTCTTAAGTTGGGCTTGGAGTGCTTGAGGGATTTAACTTGTGTCGGGTGGGAATCTGAGGGCCGATTAGGTTAGAGACTAAAAGACCTGGGGGATAGGGTGAGCCCAGGGCTGAGGCATCTGGATCACAGGCTGAACGAAGGCAAGAAGTTTTATGGCCCATATTCCCTGTGAGTTGGGGGTAAATTGTCCAGAATCAAGATTACATTCTAGGCACTAGAGATAGGGGGACTTACTTTGATAATGATTAATGACAGGAGCTGGGACAGGGGGAGCATCTCCAACACTTGGGGCAGAGTCGGACCTGACATGTGCTGATTAGGGGCACTGCCAAGAGAAGTGAGGTATGACCTGTGTGAGCCAGTTAAAGTGGGGGGATGGGAGAAAAACCTAAGACTCCCTATTTATCAGATACTTGGGGGATGGTGGTGTATAAAATTGGATTATAACTTGGGGAAACTATGGAGGTACTGGTTAGGACCCTGAGTCAGAACTTTCTAGAAGTGCCCAGATGAAGGATTGGAAATGCTCAGTGTGCCTCTCCTTGGGATTGGGATCTGAAGCCAGTGAAAGCTAAGCAGCTCAGGATGATTCAAAATGATTTTAGGTGAGCTAGAAACTTCTTCTATCAACAGGTAAGAGAACAGGCCCAGCAAGGTCAGGTAGCTTTCCCAAGTTAGTGAAATTGGTTTCATTTTCCTGGGCCGCCAAGGAGCCATGAAGCTTCAGAAGGATTACAGTTTGAAGTTACCTTCTGCCCTAGTAGCAAATTGCAGGAGCCTCACTTGGCATCTGGACCCCCTCCAGATCTTCCTACTAGGGTCTGACATTGCCCTCCACACTCTAGGCTTCTGGCTCTTGCTTGTTGTTAAGCTCTAAAAAGGGAATGCCTTGAAAGCTGAGCTCCAAGTGAATGGGTATCTGGGTCCACTGTTCTCTTCCTAGCACTTGCTAAGTTTAAAAAATCTTGGCCAGTGGGTCCAGTAGCTCACACCTGTAATCCTAGCACTCTGGGAGGATCGCTGGAGCTTGGAACTTTGGGACCAGCCTGAGCAAGAAAGAATGAGATCCCATCTCTACCAAAAATAGATGAATTAGCCAGGTGTTCTAGCAGGCACCTGTAGTTCAGCTACTTGGGAGGCTGAGGCAAAAGGATAACTTGACCTCAGGAATTTAAGGTTGGTGTGAGCTATTACACCATGGCACTCTATTGAGGGAAACAGAGTAAGACTCTGTTTCAAAAAAAAAAAAATCTTGACCCAACAAACTGTTTTACTCATTCTTAGGAACCCCTGTGTTAACCAACACATTACTTGGTATTTATTTGATAGGGATGAATGTCACAGATTAGTGTGGGTGATAAGCAAAAGGGAAGTCTTAAACATTCAGTTCATTCCTTTGACTTTGCTTTCTGTCTCTGGGCAGTAGATCAGGAAAGACTGCTTTTTCTTTTCTCTCCATAGACTTAGTTGTTTCTTCCTTGGAGCACATGGGTACCTAATCTCTGTCCTCAGTGTTGCTGACATCTCTTTCCTGTTGCTGCTGCACCTACTTATTAGGTAACTTGTAGCCTAGGGATGTTTTAATCCCAGGCTCTGCAGAGTTTTGCTGAGTGACCAAGCAGAAACAGTGTAGCTCAAATGCATTGATTTTTTTTTTCTTAACTCATATTGAAGTTAATGATTTCAGTAATTATGAAATGGACTAAAAAGCCCTTGTCCCAGTACTGAGACACGGGCTTTTTAGTCTGGCAAACTATGTAATTTCTGTGCCTTGTTCTCTCCTGAAACCGTGGGATTAATACCTATTTTACTCATTTAACATTTCATGAGGGCAGCACCTGTGGCTCAAAGGAGTAGGGCGCTGGCCCCATATGCCAGAGGTGGCGGGTTCAAATCCAGCCCTGGCCATAAACTGCAAAAACATTTCATGAACACCTAACATTGGAGATAAAGCAGTGAATAAGACTGATAAGGTCTTTGCCCACACTGACTAAAAGTTCACAAGGAGACTGAAAGATTGTATGTGTGTTAAAGCACCCATAAGTACCTAGATGACAACCTGGCATGTAGTAGTGCTCAATAAATAGTGATGCCCTTATCTTAGTAACACATCTCCACACTCTTCAACTTAGATGTATTTTGGTGTAAAAGATGATTTATTCAGGTAGTTTTGAAGGAAATTATATTTAATGCACTGATTTATGAGAGTACATATATGGTAGGAGTTAAGAGTTTGTGGAAGTAGAAGAGATGTGATTAGAGCTGGGAATTGAGGAAAGGGTAAGATTTGCACAAAAGAAGGCATCAATTAACCTCTGTACACCTTCTTTTCCAGAGTTGGGACAATAGGAATACTAGTGGTTGTATGTAGTTTTATGGAGTTAAAAAAAAAAAAAAAAAGCTCATAAATCAGAAGTTGCAAAGTTGCTGCCTGCAGCAGCATGTAGCCAACAGGTACATCCCACACACCCTTACTTTTAATTATGAGGAGTTTTGAATACACAAAAGAAGACAGGATAGTATAATGAGCACCATGTACCCATTATTCAGCCCCAGCAACCTTCAACTGGTGGCCATTGCTTCCCCATCCACTCTCCCAACACCAACTATTAATAAGCAGCTCTCAGGCATCATAACATTTCATTTGTAAATACTTTGGCATGGATCTCTAAAAGAGAAGGATTTTTTAAAAACATAAACATGGTATTCCCTTGAAAATTAATAATTTTTTTTTTTTTGAGACAGAGTCTCACTTTGTCATCCTCAGTGGAGTGCCATGGCATCACACCTCACAGCAACCTCAAACTCTTGAGCTCAAGTGCTTTGCTTGTCTCAGCCTCTCAAGTAGCTGGGACTGCAGGTGTGCACCAGAACTGGCTATTTTTAGAGACAGGGTCTTGCTTTGGCTCAAGCTGGTCTCCAGCTCCTGAGCTCAGGCAATCCAGCTACTCAGCCTCCCAGAGTGCTAGGATTATAGGTGTGAGCCACTGCACCTGGCCTAAAAATTAGTCATTTTTAATAGCAGTCAGTTTTCAAATGTCCATTTGTCTTGCAAATGTGATGATTTTAAGTCTCCTTAATAAGTTCCCTGGGTTGTTTGTTTTGGAAGTATTATCACTCATTCTGAGAATTTCCACTTGTATCCCCATGATGTATTTAACATTTTCCTCTGTCCTGTTTCCCATGAATTGATGGTTTGATCCATACAATTAATTTGATTCAGGTTCAGTTATTTGGCCTTACTACACAGATGGAGCTGTGCTCAATTAGGAGGCATGTGGTGTCTGTTGGTCTTTGGTGTGTGTAGCCATGGCTCTTCAGTGCCAAGGTCCAGTAATTGATTATTAGTGGCAAAATGGCAAAACAATTATGTCATTCCTTGTTCGTTTATTAGCTGAAATATTCCTATAAAGAGAAGCTTTCCCCCCATCTACTGTTTGGTTACCCAGTGATATGGTTTGTACAGAAAAGGCAGGATATATGCTTGATTTCTTCTGTGTGTTGGCTTTCAGAAAATTAAGTTGACCACAGAGTGTTTTTGATTGTGAAATTTTTCTTTAAAATTTCTCTTGGGAAATCAGATCTGGTAGTGATGGGTCTCCATTCCAGTATGGCAGTAGTCACTTCTTGCAGCTGAGTCGTGTTGCCACTTTGGATGGTCCATGTACTCTCCTGTCCCCTGCACAGTCCTCTTCATTGCCTGTGGCTTACATTTGTCTTACTCCCTTCATTTGCATTGTCTGTTTGGCCACTGTTGATAGATGTTTGCAATGAAGAGAACTGTACAAGGGTCAGGAGAGTACATGGACCATCCAAAGTGGCAACACTACTCCCTAACGTGGCTAGCTGGGCACAGAGGTTCACACCTGTACTTCTAGCATTCTGGGAGGCTGAGGCAGGTAGATTACTTGAACTCAGGAGTTCGAGTCCAGCCTGAGCAAGAGTGAGAGCCCATCTCTAAAAAATGGTTGGGCATTGTGGTACATGCATGTAGTCCCAGCTACTTGGGAGGCTGAGGCAAGAGGATCACTTGAGCCCAAGAGTTAAAGGTTGCTGTGAGCTACGACACCACAGCATTCTACTGAGGGTGACAAAGTGATACTCTGTCTCAAAGAAATAAAATAAAATAAAATAAAATCCCTAATGTGGGGTTAGTGACTAGTGCCCACTCAGTAATATTTGCCTTCTTCCTGCTAGCACTTCCTATAATACCTGCATAACTCAGTATTTCATGTACATTATGTTCGGTGAAATAATGTTTCCTTTTAAAACTCTGCTTTTAACTAAAACACTTGAAAACTACCTGTTTTGCATCAACATAATGTTTAAAGCATCTAGAATACTTGGGTTTGTTATTTTATTTAAATAACTTCATTTCCCTGTCTCCCTTTTGGGGTTGGATATTCCTGCAGTGTGGTCAAAACCAAAGGCATGTTTCTTGTTTCCTGCCAGTCCCTCATTTCTTCCACGTGTCAAATTTATACCAATTCTTGGAGGCCAGGTGCACTTAGGTACTCAGCTACCATGTTACAGAAAGGCTTGTTATTTATGTCAGTGCAGTGATAAAACAATTCTGGGAAATCTATGTTCTTATTCCCCTTTTACAGTTGGAGAAACTGAAGTTCAAATGGCTTATTCTCTGAGCTACGTAGCAAGTAGTTGGCCAAGCTTGCAACTGAATGACTCCAAAGTTCTTCTCTTTCTACTGCTGTCTACTGTCTCAGTTTAAAATTTTCCCCTCTATGCATGTCAGGAGGATAAAATAATTACAGCATAGTCACCCTTTACTCAGTTATGTCACAGACCCCGGGCTAAAGACT